ACACGAATAGACGTGAATATTTTTGGCTCCTGACATCATTTGCTCCCTTATTTCATGTAAGGACTGCAAAAAAGAAGTTTCGTTGGCTACTTATTTCGCAAGGTCATCATTGTCTTTAAGCCCTTATAGGTTCCTATTCACGCGAATCATCAATCGTCTTAGTTACTGCAGTGGCCGGTATTGTTTTACTGACCAACTCGCTTTTTATAACAGCCACTTCTCAGCTTTTGTATCAATTTTTATAAACACTAACAACTGTCATGTCCTAAATTATATTTTCAAATGTGCTATGTCGATACTTATTCTATAGCTAATTTTATCTAAATAACTTTTCGATCCTCAGGTTGTCAGCGTGTTCGCTGGTTTGACCTTTCTGCTACTGATTGCAGCACCATTCATTTTGATGGCGGTGCCCTGTGTGCTTTGCTCCGTATGCTTACGCCCTGGGTCCGTCCAGCGGCCCTTCGAACGCAACTTGATTGCTGCTACTGACGGCACCGTTGAGTCTACTGGTGTTGCTGGCGAAGAGTCTGACTTCATTGTTCAGTCTCCTTCGACGCGCCGTGCTTCTCGAGCCTCTTTTGAACAGCAGCAGCCAGCTACTTCGCATCCACTTGCTAATACTTCCTCTGCCAACGCTCTTTCATTCGAAAATCATGACAATAGCCAATTTTCTTTGAGAAGCATTCCTGCCATTCCTATCTCATCTCATAATGAACTGAAAATTGAACCCACCCTTTCTGGGACGGATTTTGCCTCATTGGGAAACAATTCGTTCCAGGCCAGTTCTGCTCCAAGTCCTCTTCAGCAGAATCCATCGCTCTCTCCAAGAAAAGCTTCTCTATCTTCTCAGGTCATCCCTAACTCCATTACATTATCTCCCCCTTCCCCTTCTTCCTCTTTGGACAACTCCAATTCATCTAAAAAGTGCTTGCGGCCCTGGTCCCCTCAAAATGTAAATCAAAAACCTCCTACCCCTGCGCCCGTACCCAAATTTATATCCCCAGCATTCTGGCGGCTTCCATGGTCATCGCGCCAAATGAACGCGACAGCCATGGCTGATCGAATCTCATGACTTCTCTTCTCAGGTGTTCTTCGATAGCTTTTACTTCTATGAGACATTGCTGGTGGGTTTTTTTTATTTTTGAGATGATACCAAGGACAACGATAACTTCCTGGTTGGTCATTGATTAATTATTTTCAGCTGCCTTTTCTTTTCTCGGTGTCACCCAACCTTTAGTCTTACACTTTATATGGTCTCATTGGCCATAATCAGTTCAAGTCCCATGACCTGTGAGTTTAATGGCATTTTTCCCTTAGGTCATCTGAATTTATTTTGTCTTTTAAATGCTACTTCTATTGCACTTTTAATATTTATTTGCTGCCTTATATTATCACTGAGAATCGAATTAAGAGCTACGCTGATCGCATACTGTCACGTAACCGAAAATTTAGGGTATCTACGACGAATTGAAAACATGTTTGAAATTTATGATAAAGTTCGTTGTACTTTTTTCCCCAAAAACTCCTGTATTTCAGAATTTAATCTGGTTTTTACTTGCCTCGGCCCAGGTTTAGCATAACGGAGTACACTTAAGATATTTACCAAGAGCAACCAATCCCGCTTTCGAGACTAAGCTATGCACTCATAGAATATATGGAGTCGAGGTAACAGACAATTTCTGGAGGCGGAAAAATTACTCGTAGGTCGATTTCTCCGAAGAAATTGACCATCGTTCGTCTTTGGTCTGTTGCCTTCTGTCAGCTCATTCATAGTCACTGTTAGACTTATTTATTCAGCATCTTTACTTTAACAATAGCCGGATGTTTGCCTTCCATATCCATACTCGACCAGCACTTGTGGTAAAAATGATTTGGCTAGTCTATTTATGTATGTAAATTTAGCTTTACAGAATTTAGCTTAGGCGTATAGAGAAGTTTTGTTTTGAAGAGTCAATATATTTTTAGTGATTCGTCAGAAGACGTGGACTGCTCTAAGGTATAAAACGCTGGCACTCTACAACTCCAAATTTTGAGGCCCTGAAACGAAGAAAGAAAACGAAAAATAGTATTACCAAATGTCATATTTAGAATCGGCTGAATACATTATGAGGGGCTGACAATATTAAGAAAACCATTAAAGGGCGGCGCGAAATAAATAAGTTTGAACCGACCTAAACACGATGTATAGTTTTCCATGTCAACTTCTGATTGGACGGTGTGGTGTCAAGCTTTGGTTATTCGACGCGAAATAAGGAGTGAAGGTTTCTCATGCACTCACGTGATCTCTGTGCCCGAGGGTGTTGAGCCATGACTATGTATGGAATGTAACAACAGTAAACATTGAATAGGAAAAGTATAGGGATATGTCACTACATATTGATGTTGGCATGTCTTTAATTTTGTTATAAAAGGCGAATTGAAGGAATTCATGAATAGGCCCCATCGGAAACCGCACAATTTATCAGTCAACTCCAAGGTAATCCTTATTCAGTTTCAGGTGAGGCAAATTTTTCGAATCCCTTTCAACTCCATTTTAAAATGAATTGAAAGGTACGCCAATATGATAACCAAAAGGCCCTTTACTCTTTCGAATGAGCTGCAGGAAGGCACTACAAATATTTCATTAAAGTTAAGCCATATCAGGATACGGATGATCTAGTATCTGCTTCTGGTGCTATTGACCCATGGATCACTTCACTTAGCATTGTGAGATGATATCAGGAGATACGTCATAGCCAAGCTTACTTTATTTTAATCATCAGAGTCATTTGATATATTCTCACTTTTCGCCCCACTGAGACCAAAAAGACTATTTTCTACTAGGTAAAACATTTAAATTTGAGGATATTTCCTTTACTTTGGGTCATAACTATCATCTTAGGAGACGCAGAGATACGCCCATTTCTTTTTAATAGGGTATCTTTTCAAATTAATAACATAAAAGTTGCTCTATTTGCTTATAATCAAAATGCTTCTGCTACGAAATGTGTACTATAGTTAGTAAACAAATCTCTGATTATGTAAGAGGAAGCTACTAATCATGGCAGAATAGAAATTAACTATTCATATGAGATGAAGGGCTAATAGTTGAATTTTCCCCTCAATGATGTGGGTAGAGCTGACGTTTTCATTTAATTTTACATAGCTCTGTTTTCATAAAATGTGAGAGGTGCGCCCTGGATGAGAACACCTTTTGGGGAAGCAAGGCTATATGAACTAAAATGGAAGCATCAGCTTTACTCATTATTGTGGGAAAACTCAACTACCAGTCCTTCGTCGCCTTAAACAAAATATGGTGAATACATTTAATATAACTGATTTACTGGTAGTTTCGAAACTCTACTTATAAACGAGCAATTAACTATTCGTATTTGAAATTGAGCGATAGTTGCGGACTTCTATTGACGGGGCGTTTTAGTTTCGACCCAACTAAATAAGATCATTAGCAATATTTATTTGCTGAATTATTTAGTCTGGCAGATGGATTTTTATGAAACATTCTTGCGATAGGTTGAAAATGGTTCTTGATTTTTTTACTTGTAGCTAAATAGCGATTTGGTTGTGCTTTGAATAATGCTGAATTTCTTGACTTTATACCAGCTTGACATTTTTAGTATAACAATATAAAAATTGGACAATTTCAATTTTATGAGAGATAGGCCTAGTTCGTTTTCGTGAAAACGACATGGTGTTATCTTAGGGGCTATTAATACAAGCCTTACAGTAGAATACATTTAATATAGGATTTATCTATCTGAAAATTCTTTAATGTTTAACACCTTTTTTTAAAGTTTTATTGAAAGTTTTTTGCTTATAGCCCTTCGTAAGAAGAATAGATATTTACTCTATGTGTGGTGTACTCACTCTTTTTCGATTAAGTAGTTGAATTTTCCCATAATCCTATGAGTTACATTTCCATTAAATTTCACATAGCCTTGCTTTCCTAAAAGATGTTCTCATCCAAGGTGGACGGCAATTTTAACCTCACCTATATCTCATTACCACCCCCAGCCATGACACTCTATAGCACCTCATTTATGTGATCTACTGACAGCCTCTAAAACCTACTTATAAAACAAAAGATAGATATTTTCTCACTTTGTAAAGACTACATGTCAGACTAAACCTAGAATAAGCCCTTGTCTCATTAGTAGCTAAATAATTTTGCGAATCATTGGATTTCTAAGTCTTTAAGTGTATTTTAATAGCAACTTCACAATTATATACGGTAATGACACCGACTTATCGTATGATAAATGCACTTCATGTTTTACATTTATTGGTGCTTTTTTCTTATTTTAGTAACTACCGCTGACTCGGATACCTCGTGGAAATCTGATTAATTGGGATTCATATAGCCATCATCAACAATCAAATTCGTTGCTATCCCAGTTCTGTGATATTAATCAAATTTATCATCGCTTATTCATCTGTACTGCTATCTCAAAGTAAGAAGCAGAATAAGAATATGCTAACTAGCCCTTCATAGACGCTCTGTTAACTTCAGCCATTCCTTGCTTCTAAGCGATGCCTTTTTCCAGTTTACTACATTCACAGCTATATTAATTCATTCTCTGAAACACCACATTTCACTTTCACTAGTTAAACCTACTGTTCACACTGGTTTCTTGGTGGCATTTTGAAATCAGGTTCTTACTGGACTGATGGCGCCAACTTTTGAAATTCTCACTTCACTGATGAGTTCTCTTTTTCTGTATAGAAGCATTATTTTGATTCTTAATGTCCTTTTCCTCTAGTAGAATAATCATTCTATTACACGTTTCCACCCATCCTCTTTATTCTCATTCTACCATTTTCAGATAACCGAACATGGATATTCTTTTCCTTATGTGATTTTTCTTCCAAATCTTGATCGTGGCATTTTATCAAGCCTTATAAGACAGTTTTACTTAGTGCTAGGGTATGCAAATACAACCTCCGTTTTATTTCAGTCTATGTATGCAGAGATACAATATACTGGTTCCATAAACTCTTAACACTTACATTTTGTTACTTTGAACGACTTTTTTATAGTTTCCTACGTCTCGTCTATTTAAGGTCTGGCAAACATCCACACTAACTACCTGGACTTCATTTTACTTTTTTTTGTATTCATTTGTATTCTGGCTAATTTGCTCTTTGGTACTTGTGGCACCTACTGAATCACTATTCATTTATATTTATTCACAACATTCTTTTGAATATACACTCCTATTATGATTACTTCATTGATAAGTCCTGCTTATTTCTTTCGTTAGGTTTTTAACGAAAGCATGGTCAAACAATACTTATAATTCATATTCGATTATGCTAATTTTGAAAACCATCTAACATAACCACAGACGTGAATTTAAAGCTGTTGCTTCTGTTTTGATAGCAGTCTTCTTTTGCGGAATAGAAATGGTTTGACCTCGTGCTGTCAGGGGAACTTATTTGGATGCATCTTGTCCAAGGTCCTCTGTCATAGTCGCTATGATCATTCCGATCGTCTGACGGTGAACTTGGCAGATTTCCATGTGTTTAGCCAGCATCGTCAATGCGAAGCGTCATCGTTAACGCAGAGTTAGAACTTGTCTGACGCGTTTTAGCTTGGTGCTAAGAGTGGCAAGGCTTAATGTCGATGCTGACGAAATGCCTGGAAATTATCATAACGAATATAGCATAAGACTTAGTATTATGCGCGTTAAACTAGGTCGCGTTGGCAACAAAGCTAGTCTAACATCTTGTATAGTTATCCTAAAGAGAGGACACAGGCCTCTACTTCTAATCGAACACACAAGGATCAGTTAAATATCTAAAGGCCACTTTACAATGGGTTGCTTGTTTCTATTATCTAAATTCCCAGCCTAATAGTCGAGTAGATTAGACAGTTGACCTGTAGGCTCAAAGTGGGCAGTTTTATCATAAGTAGCATGGTGGATATCGACTTAACTCGTATAAGGCTAATCGTTAATTCTTGTCAAAACTGATTCTGTCCCCAATGACTCGCATCCATTAATATAGTGGTGTGGAGCATTCATATAACCTCTTTTCGAGAACTATATCGGAAACTTAGACATAGACTATAGGGAT